GTGTGTGTGTGTGTGTGTGTGTGTGTGTGTGTCAAATCTCTCAATTTTAAAGAAAGATAGTTTTTCACAAGGAAAATAACTTAAACCCAGTCCTAACACTAAGGCCTCATGAGTCACTTTGACCCGAGAGCAGCAGGAGGGTTTCATTGAATCAGATTCATCTTTAGTAAAATTGGTTTGTTGATCAAGCTTAGACATATTAAATTAAACAATGTATTTGCTTCATCTTGACACAAAAAAATAAAAGGCGCGTGGAATTATTTTTCCTCAATTTTAAATGCGTTCAACAAGTAAGGTTTCCTCTTCTTTTTATGTATGAAATAGTTAATCAAAGAAAATTTGAATGTGAGCCAAGATATGTTTAAATTAGGCTTTTTTAAACTTATTAATACCAATTTTTGTGTTGAAAACATATTTTTTGTAAATATTTTTGGCAAGAACACATGTCCTATAAATTCACAAGAGAACATTCATTTTTATGTGTTTGTTTTTTAATAAAATTTTAGCAAATTGAAAAGACGTTCTTTACTTTTGCTTTATTTTGTGGCATTAGTTCAGGTTACACTTTGACCTCCTGCTAGAGACTGTAGGTTTTGCAAAACTACAAAACTAGTTGTGAAAATGAAAAAAAAAAAGGATGAGCAAATAAAAGACAAAAGATTTATCATAGTCCAAGATCAGATTTTGTTTATTTTCAATCACATACATATACTATTTGTACATACACAGTTCCTTTAAAATGTTGTGTTTACAGCAACAGCTTTCAGTTTTTTTTAATTTTGTTTGCGTTTATTTTGCCGTTTTTTTTACTTTTTTATTTTATTTTTTCGGACTTGAAACGCTATAGTCTGAAGCTTTTAAGATCAGCGTGAACCAGTTACAGTTTCTTTTTGTTTTTCAACCTGACAATGTCAAAGGGGTAATTCGTTAAAACAGCACGGAAGTAAAAGAAACGAGAAAGGAGTCTGAAAAGATAACAACATCACCTGATTCAGATGAGCTATACAGAGTTTTCATCGGCGGAGATTTGCACAGTTAAAGACTCGAAACGTCGTCGCATCACCTGACCCTCTGCAGAAGCTTGCCTCCCTGTCTGAGTGCAATAAAAGGTTTATTGCGTCGTTGGATTGTTAGTATTTACAATGGACTTCTGAGAGAAAAAGTGACCATCGGTAAGGTGGGAATCACTAGTAATGAGTCCGATGAGTTTAAAGTACAAGACATACAGTATCCTAAATTGTGACAACTACTTTACCTTTTTTTAGTGTTCGTATTTGCGTAATATTATGGCTAAAATGACAAGTCAGTCATCTTCAGATTACAAACGAACATCTGTTGGATAGATGTGAACTTCATTGGATATGGTACAAGAGATCTGATAGACAAGGCCGTGGGAACTGAGGGTGCTCAGGGTGCCACAGCTTCCCAATGGGTGAAAAAAACTCAAAAATAATGAAATCTAAAGGGAATGAGTGACATAAATGTTTTCACTAGTGTTGTGTAGGCTTATAATCCATTTATATTTTGGACTCAATGGCAGAGATGAACTTCCTGTTTTTGGCGTAGTTCAGTTTTTCTCGCTTTTTACGCGTTAGCACAGCACCTTGTTGTGTAAGACCACTTCCCACGGCAATGCTTCGAGACCTTCGGGACAAACAGAATCGAGATGGACAGTTTTTCCTCGTCTGGTGGTTAATGAGACTGAACATCAGCACGTGAACGACTCCCAAACGCACAGCTGCACTCACTTCTCTCATTAACATCAACGTCTTCAAAGCAGTCGCGCAGACGTCAGGTTGAATTGAAAATATCCAAATGTCAGATCACATCAAACTGTTTTCGTGTGGCGTGCTGGTTCATTTCAAACAACGAGCAGAGCAGCGGTGTCGTTTGTGGAAACCGTTCATTTCTTACATTCAGCGTTTTTTACGCTCCTTCAGACGCATTAACCAGAACCCAGGAGCACCTTTGATCACAACAGAATTGTCTGGAGGGACGTCAACAGTTCACATTCAGAAAACGAAGGTGGGGAAAGAAACACATTAAGACCTATCAATAGTTCTAAGTGAGCAGGAACATGTTGGATAAAAGAACATGGTTACATGGGTCAAAACGCCCCTGTAGAAAAAACTGCAACACTACTGTGTGTATCTGTGGTTTATATATATATATTTATATAGGAGCCAAGTTCAACTGAGATATTTCATCAAACATTTGTATTTTTTTTAAACACAAAGAATTTCAAAGCTGCACCCTGTTTTTGAAGGATTGCCCTGGCCCAGACCCTGAACAGAGAGCCAAGCCTGCCGTAGCTTATTCTGGAGACGAGACGCCGACCTCAGTCGCCCTCAGGAAAAAATAAAAAACTGTGATTTCGTTTTTTGGGGTTCCTTCCCTCTTTACGAGCTGCAGGCTAAAGAGTGTTAACAGTGTTGCCGTTTGGAGGAGGACTGTGTGTATAATATGTTAAATGGTACGTAGAAGTGTGGGGATTTTCAAGAACATACAGATGTTTCATTATCTGTAAGCATTAGTGAGGAATTTAGTTTAGAAATGATGCGTAAATTATGTTTTGTTCAAACTAATACAGCCTACAGTTGTTGATGAAGTGCAACTTCTCAAAGTAAATCCAAATAATCAAATTAATAAGATATTTTTTTCTTTACTTTTCTGCTTTGTGCTGTATTTAGAATTCAGATTTTTCAAATCAGACAAACTGTGGAAAGATTTAGACTGAAATAAAAATAGTTCAGTTAAAAAGTATTATTTTTTATTATTATTTTACTTTTTTCTGATTCCACAGTACATGTTGTAGGACTGATCGTTACACGTTTTTGAAACATCAGAATTTTAAATGATTGTATTTAGATCTACCTTAATTTAAGAAAACCTCTGAAGCATTTAATGTTTTTCTTTTCTGTTTGAGCGCGAGACTTACGTTTATTTAAAGTTACGTTAAAAACTTAAAAATCTAGTGCTTCAAACTGCACTGCTTAAAGTGAAATGTAAATACAGGCAGAAAAGACAAGAGGCTACCTCTTGTCTTTTCTGTCTCCTAAACCGGTGGTTTCCAGAGTGGCAGAGACTCGTGCAATCATCACTAATGAGACATTTAAAAGAGCCTCACCAACCGTTTTATTGTCAATTTGTGACGACTGATTTGGTCTTTTTGCAACAGTTGGAGTCTAAATTTAAATGGGCAAATATGATTTCGATTCCTTTGAATCCCCAAATTTGGGAACGACTAATGTCCCTTTTTTTCATGTTAGTGGAAAATTGTGCTAGAAAGAATCTAAAGTAGCAAACAAACCAAAACATTAAAAAAAGAAATGAACTGAATGATGCACTGTGAGAAAATATGTTCTGCATCTGCACAGACCCGCGACCCAAAAAGTGCATGCATCTATTCCCTGCATCCGCAGTGCTTCACTCCAAAAGGCACTTGCCATATTCAGATTTCACCCGTCAGTATAAAGAAACGAAGGAGCTGCTGAGGAATCCAGCTGTCAGCATTAAAAATAAAATTGCATTTAAATGCTGAAAGATTGTTTTGATGATGAAATGTGCAAGTTTCTTTTTACGTAACGTGTTGCTACAAAGTTAACACTCGCCTCGCCTATATACTCCTTACTGTATCACTTTTGTCTTGTTTAGTTTTTTTTAAGGAGTCAAATAAAAGGAGACAACCCCCCCACGGTGAAAGGGATTTCCCCTCTGCATGTCTCCAAAGGGGCAGCGGGGCAGCCTGTGGGGTGCTGGAGGGACCGTTTCGGGAGGCCTTTCAAACACAGTGCACAATCCGAATTATTTATTTCTGTGCGCCCTTTAAGTCCTGACCTCAATTCTGATTAGAAGTCTTTTTTTATCCCTTCATGTCAGCAGTGGAGTTAGTTTACATTGTACATAAACAAAGTCCTTATAGAGACCTTTTTTTTTACTTTTAGCATACAGTGAGATTTAAATCTAACCATGCACGACTACAGCGATAGGCAGGAGCAACCGAGGTGGACAGAAGTGATGTGGCAAGGTGTGCGCTAGTTAGGAAGCCAATAAAAAAATAAATAAACTACACAAACTCCCAGTGTACTGGCCATCAGTCCCACTCTGACTGCCCTTCAGCTGGACAGAGTTACAGTATTTACATGGAGCTGGAAACATATCTGGCAACCTAACATTTAAGATTGTGGATTGGATGGGTGGGAAGTGTTAAAAACAACAAACAAAAAAAAGGCAATGCTATTAAGTAGAGAACCAGGGAAAGCTTGTTTTTAGCAGGAGTGGTGAGCACAACGGAAGCCCACCTTGCCACAACGTTCAACCGTAAACGCTGTTCAGGAAAACCAGAAGCCAGCCAAAATGCACTTTAAAGGAGATGCAAGTCGAAGCACTCGGTCGTTTTTCATTTGGAAGCCATATACAAGATTTGCAGCAAAGCAACTAGATGATCATTAACATTATATCTCAGCTCATCGGCTTCATTAAACACCACTGCTCTTGTGAGTGACGATGCACAGGCTTCATCGGTTTTCCAATTATTACATAATTGACATTTTCATTCAGAACATATTCATCTTTTTGTATTTTTATTATCATTTTTTTGAAATTGTTTTAATTTGAAAGTCGTATTTGTTGGGTTCTTCACCGCCGGAAGAACACGGGGTTGCGCAGGCAGGCGGATAGTCACCTGCAACACCCCAGGGGTCCCGCGGAGGTCTCCAGGCTGCTGTCGGTGTCTGAGGCCAGGGTCTGGTCGGTGGACATGGAGGAGATGTCGTTGATAGAGGAGGAGGGAGGGAGGCTCTCGCTGCTGTTCACGGCTGCACCTGTGCTACGGGAATGAACAGCAGCAGAGGGGGTCAAAACGGAGAAGAGCGACAAGGCAAGCAAAAATAAATCAATGAATAAAAGAGATTTTTTTATTTTTTTGCAAGCACACACAGAAGGCACGGTGAGATGAACTGTTGGGCGAGGACAGGAACAATATTGAAAGCAGCCGAGGGACGACGCTGCATAAAGAGGAGAGGGGGGCTGAGGTTTGGGTCCAGTGAGCTCCACAGGAAAATCATTAAAGACTGCAAAGATTGAGCAGTCTGCAGCGTTGTTGTGAGCACTTAAAATGTCATCAGTAAGTTCTTTTGTCGACATTTTTGTTGTTTTATATCTTTATGAGAACACCACTTACTCTTTGCTATACTGGTGCAAGTCAGTTTGTAAGTTATTGAAATAATATTTCAATTTCCAGGTATTGATCTTGGTGGGAAGTCAGAAGCAGTCAGCAGAAAACACTTCATTTAATCTGCTAGGCCAGCACTTAATTATTCAGAGATCCAAGAATGCTTCAAGGAGACTCATCCTGCTTTTAAATCCTTCTTTTTCACAAATCATTCAGTTGGGGTCTATATAAAGTGGAACTGCAATGCTTTGGTCTGAACTCCTCCTTTTTGTAGCTCCACAAGCCCCTCCTTCACCCCGTTCTGAGGTGTGTCTCAGATCAACTCGCTTTGAGGCTGTCTCTTTAAATCCAAACGAGGTGCTTCACACCCCGCCTCCCTCCAGCTTCCAGAGCGATTCATTCTGGTTTGATAGAGGGGTTTACAACTATAGCGCAGAAATGTTTTATTTAAGTGTTTAAGATGGGTCCACATGTTGGAGCCAGAGTCTGACCCAGTGCCAGAGGAAAATAAAGACAAACAAATTGTAGTTGGTATTGGCAATTCTGTTGCAAAGCGATGGCTCTGTTGTGGATAATGAGCAAATAATATCTTACCTGTAGCTCTATGAAGACCTCCACTTGGAGAAATATGTCTAATCCTGAGGGGTCTGATGAGCCAGTTGCCAGCTAGTCTATGTGGAGCTAAGACCAATGTGAATCGTTGTGGTCTCAAATCTCAAACAATTTTTCAAGTGCAAATAGTGGCAGCAGCAGCTAGCTGTACCACCTCTGGGGCACTTCCTGCAGTAATATTACAACACTTCTGTTTAGTGTAATGCAAAAATAAATAAATAAATAAATAAAAATGACAGAACATAAAGGTTTATAGCATTTGCATGAAGCGGTATTTTTGAGGTAAAGTTGGTCTTGATGAGTCAGTAACTGATAAGTCTGTCAGAACTAAACTCTGTTTCTTCAAACTCAGAGGTGATGGGAGGTCAAATCTGTTTTTAGATGTTTTACAAAACAGGAAGTGTCTGAAGCAAAATCAGTGTCAAAAATCTTTTTGTTAGCGTTGATCTGTGCTGCCACTTTAGAGGAATCAGCAGGGTTGGAAACCGAGCTGTGCTTTTTGTCCCTGTCGAGTTTCCGTAGCTTCCTGTGGAAGAAGCGTGCTGCAGTAAAACTGTCTGATTTCACATCTTTTTTATCTTCTCTTTGCTGAACTCTGAAGAATATACTGTAAATAATATTTGAAGTTATAACTTCAATCACATTCCTATGACATGTTCAATGTTAAGTTAGCATATGCCAATCATCAGCATAGTTGTTATTGTACACCCTTTATTAGGCATGGAAATATATAAATCTGTGTTTATTTATATAAAATAAACCACAAACAATTAAGTTTTAAGAGGAGCAAAAGGCATCAGTGATCGTTTTGTAATCCCATCACAGCACTCAGATTGAATCATGAATTAAAGATTACAGCACAATTTACAACAGGTAAGATAATTGTTACTAATCTCATCACTGAACGTTTTGAAAGGTCTTAACTATTCCTTTAATTTCCACGAACAGGACTTTTGTTCTTGTGTTGCAACATTTGTAATTCTCCAGCTTGTAGTGTACTAATATAACAAAAAAAGCTTTTGCTTTTTAATTCGTTTTACATATTTTTCTAATAAAAACACAGCCTTATAGCAAGCTGGATTTACTCTTTCTGCATCCAAGATGACTTTTTACTCCATGAGCGTTAAGCGAAGAATTTCAATTCCCAGTCACACACCTGCATAAATATTTTTTTCTCATTTTCCAGCCAAAAAAAAAAAAAAAAAAGATTCCAGAGTGGAGCAGTTACAGTACACAACCCAAATACACGGATTTAAGCGGATTTGTGAAGTTTGTGCTTGTCCCGTATGAGGCAGCAGCTTAAAGTAGATGCAGAAAAAAAACTAAAAAGCTGAAAACAAGGCAGTATCAGCAGCTGGCATTAACTCTTGCAGATACAGAAAGAGTAAATAGAGCAAAATTTAAACTGCAAGAACAGCTTGATATCACTCTTTAAAATGCCAAAAAATACAATAATAATAACAATTATTATTATTATTATTAATTTCCATCACAATTCTGAACCACAAATCTCTATTTAAAATATGAAATGTGGAGTAAAAATAAACAAAGATTCTGATTAAAGCATGATGTTTTCTTTCTGCTTCTCTGCTTCAGTGAAATTCTGTCTGCAGCTCCTGCAGTGTGTCTGAAACACTGAGCAGCAGCAGAACCTCCTTAATTACAAAAGGATGCAGACAAGGAAAAAAATGAAGGTTGTAGCAAGAGATGAAGCAAAATTAGAAGGATTGCAAAAAAATAGTTTTTTAAAACTTATTTCATTCTTTATATAAATGGATTATAAAGTTTAAATACTATTTGAATTTTAAAACCACTAATCGAAGTTTAAACAGATTTTAAACCTTGCTTGTCTTTTCTGACCAGCAGGTGTCGCTGTGCCTAAATAAAAAGCCATTTTTACTTTATTTTTTTATTATTTTTTATGAAATCTGACAGGTTTGTTTAAACATAACTCTTCACTGCCATCTAGTGGTGAACATTAAGAACAGCACATGCTTTCTTATGGAAAATCTGCTACAGTTTAACACTGATTGCCCAGGGGAACTACAGAACCCAAACCTTGAGTTATGATATGTGACACGCAGAAACAAAAACATGCAAAACATTTGTCATCACATATTCTGTGCAGATTGTTTTTTGTTATCATTTCAGTTTAACATATAAAGCACTTGGAACTGAACAACACAGAACTGGAGATGCAAGCGACAAAGACACATGGCCAACAGCACAATGGTACTCTCTGTTAACAAAAGGGGGAAAACTCCAGTAAGGTTGTAGTAAATTCACTTACAGAGCGATTAGGCTTATGCACTGAGAGTACCTGAAGGTGAAGGTTGTCCCTTCACAACGCCATTCTTCGTTCTCTCCTCAAAGTTCATCACTTCTTTATAGATTAATTCTGGCAAACAGTGAGGGATGAAACATCACACAAAGAGGCCAAAACTCAACTGTTTATAACCAAAACATAAAACTTTAATTAGAATAAGCAGGTTATTATACTACTAAGTAATTAGTATGACCTCCTGTTGTGATAAAATGTTTTCTCTTACCTTTCCACTCATCAATTGAGTGTTCTCGTTCATCCAGCTGCTTGTCGTAGATCTGAGGTGGAGGCTGAAGAGTCAGAGGAAATACACCACGTATCAGAAACTGTTCAGATTATCACATGGTAATGATATAACAGGACATTGGGCCTTTAATAAAAACATTTTCCTAGACAACATTTTATTTAATTAGTTTGACCCTGCTTCAGAACTCATAATAATATAAAAAAAAAATTCTGCTTTACTACAAGAACTGTTTCATCTTTTTAAGATGCAACCATGCTTTTTTTTTACTAAATCACTTTTTTACTCCTGAAACATGATTAAAAATAATGAGATCAACAACCTTTGAATCTTTCGTGACGTGTAATTTTCTCTCCTCAGCACAAACTCTCACAGGCTGATATTAAAAAAGGAGATAATTGTTAAAAAAGGGAAAGCAAAAAAAAAGATAGCAGAATTCAGTGCTTGAGATATTTTTTGAGTATATTTATATTAAAAAGACTTTGCATTTTATTTTATTAAGTACGTTTTTGCAACCCGTCTATAAATTCAAAGACATTCTGTGAAAGAAAGTATTCAGAGAGACTAAAACTATAATCCCCAAGAGACAACAAAGTTCCAAATAATAACGTAATGTATTATTGTGATGTTGTGCTTTGTTTTATTGTACTATAATGTATTGTATGGTATTATATTGCATCATATACCATTTTGTGTATTGTATTGTATTAAACTGCTTATTTCTACTGTATATGCATTGTTTACATTTTTATCACATGTATTATAACACATTTTATTATCTTGTTATTATTATGTCTTGTATAGTATATTTTATTACATAGTATCACATCATATGTAATGTATTTACTGCATTGTAAGATAGGCACCAGCTCCCAACAACAAAGGAAATTAGAGGAAAATAAAATGAATGGATCATATAGCATTGAATCACATTGTATCATATTAACATACTGTGTCACATACTGTATCAGATTGTGTTGTATAATATTTTATTGCACTGTTTTGTGTATTGCAGAGTGCAGTATTGTATCATACTGTATCAGATCTTACAGTATTTTTTAGGGTTTGTCCTTTAGTTGAAGTTTGAATTCTGTGTTCCACGTTGATTTCATTTTGAGTTTTTATTTTTACACAGAATCGTTTGGGCTTAAATCAATGCAAAGATGACTCAGTGTAATATAAAAAGGTCAGGACCACAGAAAAATAAGCCAATTATAAATATTTCAGATGGGCAAAAACCAGATTACCTATCTCTGTTTTAATATCTATGACAAATACAACATACTGAGCAAAAAGGTCAGTGCGTGTTGATGTTAAACATACTTTAAAAGCGGTATAAAAAGGAAGAAGTAGGTTATTTACTGTTAGTCAGATAAAAATATTGATTTTCAGAACATTTTATATGACCATGTATGACATCAGACTTTTACAATCAGGATTAAACAGCTGACTGAGATAAGATGAGAACTTTTCTGCTGCGTTGATTTGCTGAGATACCATTTCATCGACCAGGACACAAACGCTGTCTGGCATCCAGTCAAGCCTTCTTATCATGATCCTGGCTCAGACTCTAAACACACACACACACACACACACACACACACACACACACACACACACACACACACACANCACACACACACACACACACACACACACACACACACACACACACACACCACCTCTTCCACAGCAATCCCTCTGATATAACAGTCAGGCACCGTTACAGACTGGCCTCAGCAGGACAGATGTTCCAAAAGTGAGCTGGTCTGTTTCGAACATGGATTTATCAAAAATAAATATAAATTAAAACCGTCTATTTTGTGCTCACATAACATTTTATTTTGTAATTAATCCCTTTTTTCATCTTATTAATTGTGTTGAACCAAATGTGTCCAATACTTTGTCTTTCTGATGCATCTCAATAATCCAGGAAGAAAAAAGAAAGATGAATAGGACTTCTGAACGAGTTCTTTGTTGAAAAAACTTTGTTTCTTCAGTCTGAGGAGTTGCAGGTAAACTGCAGTGCCTCTACATGGTGCACAAACAAGTTAATGACAAAGAAGAACCTGCCCAGAGGACCAACTCAACTCTTTTTTAAAATACTTTGTCATTCGCATTCTAAATGTCCCAATAAACAATTTGCTTCAGCAACAAGCAGAAACACCAGCAGTCTGACACTGTGCAGCCCTTTAAAGGGATCATAAGATGCTTCTGTGACAGAAAAAATAAATAAAAACAACAGAAGTCCTCCTCTCAGACCAGTTAAACAGAAAAGAACCAGACTGAGCTCCGGCAGCACCACTCACCGCCTCCACCTCAGCTGGGTCGTACCACACGTTGATGTACGGGTGCTGCAACGCCTCGTCCACTGATATCCGTTTAGCAGGATCAATGATCAGCATCTTAGACAGCAGGTCTCTGGCCTGGCTTGCTGTGAGTTGAAAGAGACAAAACAACATCCAGCTGATTACAGACCAATAAAGAAAAGATCATCTTATATCACTGAAAGGAAAACTGAAAGAAATATATAACAGTATAAAGCATCCAAATAGTAATTCTACAACTTTTACATGCTTTCATTGATACTTTATTCAGTTTACCTCCCTCAAGCTGCATCTGTTTATTTTTCAGAATTTTGTCATTAACAATGGCTTGAACTTATAAAGCACTTTATCAAGTCAGACTCCAGCATTTCACGCTACAGTCATTCACCCATTCATCCACTGATGGTGAGCTACAAGCTGCCCTGGGCAAAAGCATGTGCCGACCATAACCGAGACATTTTGAAAATAAAAAGTACAACATGTAGGATTAAAATAATGCTTAAAAGCAGGAATTTCAAATGTGCACTAATTAAAAACACTGCTGCCTGCTCTGATGGAGGGAAAAAACAAAAGCAGAATTTCAACTGAAGTCAATTAAAGACCTATCCACAACGGGGGGGGGGGGGGGGGGGGGTTGAAAAGGTTAGAGAAGATGAGTTTGTGATCGGAAGGTTGCTGGTTCAACTCCCCGAACCAACCAACTCCACTGTGAGCCCTTGAGCAAGGCCCTTAACCCGTCAGCTGCTCCCAGGGAGCTGTAATTGGCAGCCCACTGCTCCACGTGTGTTCACATGTGAGATGGGTAAAATGCAGAGAATTAATTTCCTCTCTGTGGGGAAATAAAGGCTAATAAAATCTTTAAAAAAATGATCTAAAAAAGATTATTAATTTCTTTGAAAAAACAAAATAGTAAATTCTGTTTACAATAAAATAATATAAATTTCAAATAAAATGAAAGGCAGCAGAAAGAAGAAAACATCTTATATTATCCGTCCCTTTTTAACCAACAAATAAATTCCAACAATAATATTCTACAAATAACAAACAACAAAACAAAATCAACTCCTTCAAGCAACAGTTTGTATAGATAAGCATTATACTTTGTATGCATTGTATAAAGTGATACTTGAGTAAAAGTCTAAATATCTTATCATAAAAATTCTTCAGTAAATATTAAAGTTTTCTCTAAAACTGTTACTTGAGTAAAAGTCTTAAAGTATCTGATATTTTTTGTACTTATCAAAAGTAAATTTCTGACACAAAATCTATTTAAGTATTAAAAGTAAAAGTAATGAGTAAAAGTGAGCCATTAGATTTTCCAAATGACATTTATTGGGAGGTGACTTCTCCAAAAAAAATTTTTTTTCTAACGGCGTGCAGCTGTGATGGGTTGTGTACTAGGTAATACTGTGTCAGAATGGTATATATTTATACGTCTCATCCAACCACAATTAAATTCACTCTATCCAGGAGACACAATTTATCAGGATAGTATTTTTTTTAAGTAATAACAACTTGGAATAAAATAGGAGTAACAACTTTCTACTTCTTACCTTTTTTAAATAAATGTGGTGCAAAACTGTAATGAGTAAAAGTGAAAAGTACGCTGAAAAATAATTACTCAAGTAAAGTACAGAAAACCAAAATTTCTACTTAAGTACAGTAACAAAGTATTTGTACTTAGTTACTTTACAACTCTGATTTTACTATTTTATATTTCTTTAACAAACCAACTTTTATCATTTTCTGAAACATAAAGCTTGATCTGGCATTTTTCACATCATTGTTCCATAATCTTATTCCTTGGATTGAAGTACACCGTTCCTTCAAACTGGTTCTAAATTTAGGTTTCACAAACATCTCGATCCCCTTAAGACTGCATCAAATCTCTCTCTTAACAAAATCCAATTGGATGTTTAAAGGTAATATATTTTTGTGACCCTTATACATAACCTGTAAAGCATTATAGTCAACCAAATCATGGAAATTCAATAATTTCAATTGATAAAATAATATATTTGATGGGTGACTGTAATGTTTTCTAGTAAAAATTCTTACAGCTCTTTTCTGTAACACAAAAATAAGGTTTGTAATAGTTTTACATGCTTTCCCACAGATTAATTTAAATATTAGAAGTATAACTCTTTGAGGAAAACCTTTGCTATGGTTTATTAAAACATAGAAAAAAAACAATTCAATTCTAGTCTTCATCTTGGTGTCTTTATAAAGGTGAATGCTGTGATTATTCAAAGTAGCTGAAGTTTGTCTAAATAATTGCAGCCAGGAAATTATGTAATTATTGCAACAGCTGCTGTGTGTTTACGTGGTGCTCTGCCATCATTACTGAGGGCTACAGCGCCTAAGATATACAGGAAGTCAGTTTAAAGCAGAGAAATGTAAATTAGACAAGTGCAACTATCATTTGTGTGTTTTGTGAATGACAAAACCAGAGCAGTTCTATAAAACTTCCTCCCACCGTCCTCTTCTTTTCCCCCTGTCTGGTAGGTTGAAAATAAGCAAAGCACAACGAGTTTCCCTTCTGTCTGACTCAGTTCCTGCCTGAAACAAACAGAAGCACTGGGGCTGGCTCTCACACCTTCCCACTCTGCCTCTCGGGGTGCGTTCCCCTTCAACGCTGCCGCTCCAGCAGAGCGCAGCTCGAATACAAAACCAGACTGGTGGGGATTTGAAAGTCAGGAGCTTTCATGTAGGAGCACGGCAACAAAACAGCATTCAGAGGACTTTCTTCTTCATCGCTTCCCAGCTGAGAGAGAAGAGCGGAGACCATGAGCTGAGGTAGAGCAAAATCAGCTCTCGGACTGGGAATTTGAAGACGAAATATTAAAAAAAAACTTTTAAAATTGTTGAAATAGGCCCGGTTTCAGGAAAAACTTCTAAATTACTAACTTGTTTTGTGTGAGGCAGCAAATGTGTAACAGGATATTCAAATGTTTAAATTCTGTATCTTGTTGGGGTGCAACTGTTGTAAACCAGCTGGAGAAAAAAAACCCTGAAATTTTCATTTGGAAACACAATGAGATGGTATTAATAACACATTTTCTTACATTCAGAACAGACAACAAATGACAGCATTTACACAACATTTTATTGCAACTCAGTCAAAAAATGTCTTGATTATGTCCTTAAAAGTGTAAAGATGGTGTTACCACTGCTGTCATAAGGGAGTTTTGTGTGTTTGTGCAGCCAATGTATGTAAAATTGTGTCTAGGTAACCAATGATTTACCTCATAACTAAAAGTATAGCTCATTCCAGAGTCTTTATTTGATTCGTTTAAGCCAATGGGGTGAATTGACCACTATGGTACGGACGCCATATTGGAAGAGGCGGGCTTTCAATGTTAACATTTTATTATGGCTAAATTTTAGTGTAATATTGCACATAAATGATAGTTTTTCAATAGTTAACTTTTGCCCATTAGAAACATCAATCATTGCAGATGTGTGTACCTGACATGATAACGTACTGACAAACATTTCTATCTAATCAAAAATAATGGTTGTTAATAGCAAAAGTTTCACTGATGTGCTGTCATGTTACCACATCAGCTTCACCAGCTCGTCCTCACCCTGAACAATATGGCCGCTCAGTCTGACCATGAACAGTCATGTGATAGTGCTTCTAGCCAACTCATCTCACTGGTTTTTAAAATTCCAGCACACTGGTTAATGAGTTCGAATGCTGTGTTTGAACGCTTTGCTGAAACGAAACAGCGTCTCACCTTTGAGTTTGTTGTGCTCGGAGTCAGCGGGGAAAAGGCAGTCGGGGAAGAGCTTAGGGAAGGTGAGGCCTGCGTACTTTGGTCGGTTCTCCACGTAGTTCCTCACTGTGGGCTGGAGCTTCTTCATGAACTCTGGTGAGGGCGTTCCCAGCTGCTCGATCACCTTGTTCCACTGGTCGATGTCTGGAGCGGCAGGTCAAGGTTCAGAGAAACACACCTGGAGTGTGAACCTGTGAAGTCCACCGCCTTCACAGAAAGCCACTGATTTTAGATTTTATGTTGTGTTTATTTTCATAAGGAAATATGAGGTAATCGTAAAGGCAGCAGACTGAACAGACCTGATGATAAACCTCGATAATACATACATATTTTTATAGAAAATAGAGCCTTCACTGTGTGTGCACCTGTGGAGAACACCTTGCATTCCACTTTCCATCTGACATCAAATATTTGCCTTTTCCTCCCCCCTCTACATGCTGCAAATACCACCCTTAATGTTCTCACACATGGTGCCAGATGAGGCAATTTGCAGCCAAAGCCACAGGAGATGCCTTGACTTCTTCATTTTGCTGAAACGTTTCACACTTCCACCTCTTTCCCTGCCTCCATTAGACGCTGGCTGTGAGCCACGCAGAGCCTCCCCCCTACCAACCCCACCCATCCACTGGCACATGGACGTTTGGTTCACTCAGATACTTTAGGATGTTTTGCTTGTCTCCAGGGTTAACGTTGAGTCTGGTTCTATATAAATCAGAATGAGGAGGTTGCAGAGAGTTGAAGGATACGGTCAGTCCCGGGGAACAGCACTGTTCCTCTAATCACTTCTCCAAAGATGCAGCCGACTGACCACATGTCCACTGGGGACACACACACACACACACACACACACACACACACACACACAC